GAAGTGGCGCTGTGGCTCAAGTGGTAGAGCGCTAGCCTTGAGCTGAAGAGCTGAGGGACAGCGCCCAGGCCCAGAGTTCAGGCCCCATGACTGGACCAAAAAAAAAAAAAGAAGAAGAAGAAAAGGCAGTTGGTAGGAGATCAGAAGACAAGACTGATCCCTGGCATCTCTCTGTCTTTCTGCATGACCACAGCCAGTATGTAGAATGGTCTACACTTAGGTTTCCTCAAAAGGAGGTGGGGCTGGAAGGAGTCCACAGTTCCTGTTTGAATTGCTGTCAAGAGGACAGAATGATAAACTGTGTAGAAAGGCCTTGAGTACAGTGCCTGGCTAAATCTCAGCCCTTGATAAACGGTGCCTGACCAGCAATGTAGTGGGTTTCTGGGTACCACCCATTGGATTGGAGGCTTCTGGTACATTTAGGTGGAGAAATTGGACATGTCCGTGCTCACATAGAATGATTCATGTCTACTTGTGTTGCTGCTGCTTTCCTGTAACCAATTTTAGAGCCTATCTTGGCAGCTGGAAGTATTTGGGATTAATTTCACACTCACTTTATTAGTTGAGAGTTTTCCTCAAGCAGCTCCCTGGGCCTCTGCCTCATTACTTTGGCATCAACTGAGATGGCAGTTGGACAGAGATGTCCTTCGGGGTCTCCATTTTATTTGGAAACCTTCAATTTGAAAAAACAAAACAAAGGCCATCAACACATTGTGCTTGAAGTCGTTAGCATTTATTGTTTCCTACAGCCCTTCCTTTCTGTAGCTGTTGAACACCAGGGAACACACAGCTTGCTCGGCTAGCAATGAGCCCCCAGATTTAACTCCTAGCAGCTGCCTGGCCTCTATTCTCTCAGTTCCAGGTGAACTGTGAGGTCTTCTAGGCCTCAGTCACACAGATCTGAGTCTTGATGGGTCTAGTTTTTCCAGCTCTTTTTACTATGCTAATTCTGCTAAATTCATTTGGCTCTTGTGGAAAACAAAGTAAACTTGGCTGTTATGTGTGAAACTAAACTGAGACCATAGGGATCTGGTTAGTATTTCATGCTGGCCAGTAGGTCAGCTGGCTTTTCCTCAGGGGTAATTTACATAAGGAGTTGTTTATTCCATGTCTTTCCAATTTTTGTGAACATTTGGGGATAGCAGTGTATTTTCACAATGGCACAGAAATACATCCACTGAGATTGGAACTCCGAGAGATGATGCTTTTCCTGGATTGATGGATTTGGGGCCCTGCTCAGGAAAGAGCCTATGGCTATGCTGCTGTCTCTCAGCACGCTGTTCTTCCATCCCAGCTGTGTTCAGCAAGTTGCATGGGTCTGGGAACTGACATGCTGTTATACTTAGTGGTAGCCAGAAATGTGCATAGAGCCTTCATGGACATCGCAGCAGATGTCCCAAACACTTGTTAGGATCTGGTTGCCACTAAGCGCAGCTCCGTCAGGTAACAGCAGCACACCATACTCTGGTTCCCTGGTACCCATGGTTAACTGTCTGCCCTTCACCTTGACATTCTGCCTCCTCCACAGCAGTGGGCCAACTTCCATTTTCACTGCCACCAAATACCCTTTCCTTCCCGAACTAGCATGCTTGCCCTTCTCCAGTAAGCAGCCTTTGTTTTTCTGACTCGCTCAAGTGTCCTTCCCTTTCAAAGCAACTTTTCTCACCATTTGTGCTTCTGGAGGCATTTTTCAGGTACCTCTTTGTGTGCTGACAAAGTTAACAAAAGGTCCTGGCTGGACAAGGCCAGGAAGCCTGGCTCTGACATTCATTGAGTTCCATGTTGTAAAATCTTCCAGTGGCTGATTTCAGGTTGTCAGTGTGAAGTCTTTGAATGCAAATGGGCAGAAATGGCAATAGACCACCATTGCAGTGTTCACAAAACAGAACACAGTAGGCATAAATAACAAATATCTGGAAAGCCTACATAATCATAGAAAATGATGAGTTCTGAGTGGTTATTGCCTTCATTTTTAATATAATTCATTTAAGTTTAAGTTCATGCAATCTAATTTTTAGTAATGGATGTCTAACAAGGCTTGTGAGATTCCCCAAAGTTGAACAGTAGGTTCTTTGTTCTGAGTAGGGAGTAGCTGAACAAGTCAGCCAGCCTTCTCCTTCTCCCCATTCCTTTTTCTCCCTCCCCTCTTCTTCCCTTCCCCTTTTTAGAGCCTTCCACACTCAGCTGTGTTTGTATGCCCACCTCTGAACCTAGGCATGCCTGCAGCTCCAGAGGGCTTGGAGTGTGACAGATTCTAAAGTTGGAATCTCATTTTTTTTAATTTACAATGTGTATGGTCAGTATGCCTATTTAATTTGTGGATGCAATGTGAAATGAAAATGAGGGAGTCTTTGTTTAAAAAAAGCAGGAAGAAAGGGCTGTTAAAACAGTTACCAAACAGAAAACCTCTTCCTTTCTTCAGTGGTCTCTTTATTGTAATTTCCAATGATCTTTTCTAAAATTTTCTATTTAATATCTTTCTAAATAAGGAAAAACATTCTAAGTTGTTAGCATGAATTTCATCAGTAATCTTACGTTGCTAGAGCCAGTTTTAGATGCAAGCATAAGAGCATTTAACTCATATGAGAGAACGTATCACCCCAACTTACTTACATGTGTGCTCCACTGACACATCGACTTCAATTACAAAACACAGGCTTAAAAATAAAGTTACTGAGAATTGCAGGAGAGAGGCAGCAGAGCATTAAGCCAAACGTGACCCATGTTAGCATGTGCACCTTGCATGCAGTCCTAGCAGATTCCTTCTGTTAGCTGAGACTTGCGGTCCAATTAAATGTGACCCAGAGAAGAATGTAGGGAACCCACATTAATTAGAGAAATTGTCATTAGAATAATAGTCTCAGTGTATTGGGATTCTCTTCTAGAATGTGGAGGGTCTTGGTTACAGTATTTGCCTTCATAGCCTGTTTTCCTTTCTCTATTGGGACCCACCCTTTGAAGGTAGAGATGAGATGGTCTCCCTTGAGTCCCTCACAGTGCTTCCTGAAAATTCCGGTTCATACCTGGCACTCACTAGGTGTTTATGACCTTGATCTTTGCATGATCTAGGCTTTTGGATGATAAGCATCTGTGTCAATATGATAGCCCCCCACAATGGGGTGTAATTGTTAACAGTCGCAGGAAGAGAAAGTGTATAAACTCAGACTTTAACAGAAGTTGGTTGTAATCCAGGTGTTTTGGTTTAAGGAAAGTGGCCTCTCCTGTCTCTTTGAGGGGACTTCTCATAGTAATGGGGAAGGATTGAGTTCCAAGCCCCATTGGAGTAAAAGATGCCCCAGGGATATTAACTCTGGCCCACAGTAATCCATCCTTTGCTAACTTTTTTCACACTTTCTGTTCTGCACAATTTGGACATTATTATAGTAATGTTTCTTCCCACTAATTGGTTGTGAATGTATGTCCCCTTTCCAACAAATTACAAGATTCTTGTGTGCTGTGAAAGCTCTTGCACAGTAATAGAAAGCACAGTAATAGGCGGATGGCGAAGAAGCACTTCTTGTGGTGTTGGTCGTGGTTCAAACTCCCCTGGTACCCTGGAGACTACATGTGAGCTATGACTGTCTTTTATAACTCCTGTAGCCAGGGCCAAAGAATCCTGGTCTATACCGAATCTTGGGGTAAAGACCTTTCCCTAACTTGTAGGTCTTTTCTAATATCTTGCAGGCACTCTCAGGACAGCCCCTTTCTAGTCCCTCTCCCCACGTGGAAGTCCAGAGACCACACAGATGTAGCTACTACTCATTTGAATGATGATTTTTTAACAAGGCCTTTGGGCCATTGTCAATAAGCCATGAAATATCTGCAAGGATCTCCTATACCAGCTCTGAATCTCATCTGAGCTCGTCTCTCAGCTGGAAGCCTCTTAGAGAAAGAAGCTCGTTGCCCTGGCTTTTGCTATTCCCGTTCTAGGGTCTGTCAGACGCCTTGGGCCTCTGGGGCCATCAGTTCATTACTTTTAATGAGCACAGAATTCACCAAGACATTAAAATAAAGTAACACACCAGTGGGCAGCTTCGGTGTTCCATCCAATTGTTGCTTTAGTTCCTTTTTCCACAGGATTATTCAAAAGGAATTTTTTTTTTAAAAAAAGAAAAGCAAATTCTATTCACTCCTGCCAATTTTTATCCTAAATAGATTTGGCATTGTAAAGCTAACACATTTTTTTTCTCCAGGTCACTATGGACTGGTACCTGACATTTGTGTTAAATATTACATTATTCAACTGGTCAAATGTTTTAATATAACCAGCTTTTTAGTTATACTAAAGAAATACTGGGTATCCCAACAGCACCAAATGTAAAGACAAGTATCAGATAGAGAAGAGAATTTTCTAGAAAAGATATAAATAAAATTATTTTAAACCTCAAGGCAAATGTTTTGATAAGTGTATTTTAATTGAGTAGTCTCCATGGCCAGACTGTATGAGCTTAATTTTAGGGGTTATTTACATTACCACCTATTGAAGAAGGTCAACCAATGGTGAAGCAGATGCAGAACAATGTCCCCATTAAGCTAAGTCTATAGATTCTCTCATCCCTTGACCATATGGCTTTGGAATTACTTTGGACATTTTTTAAAAAGAAGGAAGTGGGCAGATGAATGATAACTCATTTATTATTCAACATAGCTGGTGTTTGTGAAAGACAAAGTTTGTCAGGTTGTAAAGAAAAACAGAAGTGTGCCAAGCACAATTTGTTGAGGGCTTAAGAATTGTGAAATTATCCCTAACCGAAGTTTGTAATTGCGGCAGGTAATCGCTCTAGCAGACACAATTGAGGAAAACCAGGACAATCTGTTGCAGTCATTTGCCAGACTGAAGAGTGCCACCCATCTGGTGATCCTGCTGATTGGGCTATGGCAGAAGTTGAGTGCTGAACAGATTGCTATTCTGGAAGCTGCATTTCTGCCACTACAGGAAGACACACAAGAATTGGTGAGGACCATTGTGGGGGAGGGTGATGGCGGGGGAGGGGGGAGAGGGGGTAGGAGGGTAAGTGAGAGGAGGGGGGAGGTCGTGGTGGAAGATATCTCATGACAAGCAGGAAGAAGCATTTTTCTTCAAAAATGCTTTTTTCTTTCCTCCAAACCATACTAAAAGTGTTATTCGAAGGCCGTTTTATCTTTCTAGAGCTGCTTAGAATAGGTAATAGTCTATTGTTATATGATACCCACCAGGTTTTAATGTGCTCTTCAATCACTTTGAAGCCAGGGGAACAGTCATTGGATGGTCCCAGCAATGGCATAAACCTTCAGTTTAGCTAATGCTTTGCTTTTCTTCCAGAGAAAACAATCAGGCATTTTAATTCGCCCATGTCCTTAAACTTAAGTGTCACTTTGAAGGTCAAAAGGAATTGAGATAGCCTTGCTAAAAATGACAAGCATGGCTCCTTGCCTTTATACAGTTCTTTGTAATAGCTCAACAGCTCCTTTACTCTCAACCCTGATTAGACAGTTTTGAATTAAAAAGGGAAAATGAGGGTGCTATTCACAAAGAATTATTTAACTAAAACTATGTTCATTCTTGAATCATAAAGCATGTGTCAGTGACCCCTACATGCCATTATGGGTGGCCTTTGTGTGCTGTTATTTACAAAGAAGTAATAAACACCTGGGAAATTAGGATCCACGAACTATTGTTTTGTACTGAAGGAAGCCAGTTGCAGAGAATGAGTGGTTTCAAAACCATTTTTAAGCCTAGACATAGGACCACCATATAAAACGTTAATAGTGTTAAAATGGACATTTTCAAATATTTGTCAGCCATTATTTATATTATTTCCTAGGAATTGTCTTTTTCAATCTTAGACTTGGGACTGTTTGTAGTTCCATGTTGATGGTAAAGTACTTTTCTGAATCTACTGACAGGACTTGAACCCAGGTCTGTCTGCTTCCAAAGCATTTTTTTAACCAATAGTTATTGTACTTTAGTGAGCAAAGTCAAGAACAGTCATGAACAAGATTTTGAAAATTTTGATTTTGAAAATTTTGTCATCTGAGTCAAATTTAAAGAAAAAGAAAAAGCTCTATTTTATGACCTAAATAAAATGCTAATAAATAAATTGGAAAAATTTAGAATATATGTTTCTGTGTCAGATGATACAGGGATACTGATAAAAGTATCATTACAACTAAACTTTACCTTAGAGAAGCTATAGAAATGAAGACATGCAGCAGTAAAAATAGTGTTTATATAAACAGTAGTGATGGTTTATCAACTCTTGAGTAATCTGAGGGGCTCAGCTGTCTTCAGTCCCCAGTCCCACCATTAAGAGGCCCAGTTTTTAAGCTTCCCTCGCTCTAGGATGGAAATGGGGCATTGTGAGAGGAATTGAGCTGAGTAGAGAAGTATTGAAGGCTAGCAGTCACCATTGCCCATGGTTTGTGCCCTTGTATTGCATACAATTCTAACAGAATGAGGCAGACACAGAGTGCTTCTTCTTCCTGGTTATTCATCCCTCCCCCTCACATACTTGAGGAAGTAAGAATACTCATTTTTATGTCCCCAGACCCTGGGAAAAGTCTGAGCACAGAAGAGTCAGTACTTGGAGGATGAGTAGAGAAGATGGGGAGTGTTAACCAGGAGACCTGGAGGGACTGGTGGAGATGGCACAGTCTTTGGTGGGAGGAAGTAGGGCATGGCTGGCTATGCACTCATGGATAGCACAGTCCTCTGATCCTGAGGTCAACTGCAGTATGGAAATACTAATACTTGTCTTGGAAGAAAAAGGGAGAAGCCACATTCAAATAATTTTATTGAAGTATATTATTATAATTGCTCTATTTGTATTAGTTTCATCAATCTCTTGCTATGCTTAATTTATAAGTTAAGCTTCATCATAGATGTATATGGATAGGACAGTCGTGAATCTAGGGTTTGGTACTACTTGCTTTCAGGAACCCATTGTGGATTCTGCAACATTCCCCACACACACCAAAGATAAAGGAATCTACAGGCCTAACAACGTATGCATATATACGCTGGTTCGTGTCCTTAGTAAGAAAAGAACATTTTGAATTGTTAGTAGGGATGTTGTCACTGGTCTTTAAAATGTGCAGTGCTACTTTGAAATGGCTGTGAAAGCCTTGTAGTTATATGAGAACTGGTGACACAGTTTATATCTTGCCTTTTGTCCATACAAATGTACTTCGTTCTTTGTGAACTATGGAACTGCTGCACAAAACTGAATTTTATTTCACGTAATGTATGCTTTCCACCCCCTCAAATTCCCTGAGCTGGTCAGTAAGGAAGGCAGGCCTGAATGCATTGCCTTTCCTTCTGTGCCATCATTTTCATAGAATTGCTGGATAATAGGGAAGAAAAGAGGAAGGAAGATAATGGGCTTCCTCAGCTCATTCATTTGTGTTCCTTGACTCTGTTGTCTCCCTTCTTCATTTGAAACACATTCTGGTCCTGGTGAGAAACGTTCCAGGCTGTCATGCCCCCAGTCCTCAGCTCTGACCTACACCTTCCCCAACCTTGCCTGCTGTCCTTCCTTGAGCCATGGCCTTCGTAGCTGACCGCACTGAGTGCCGGTGGGTGGAAAGGAGAGAGAAGCACCTGCTGTGCCCATCTTCTTTCACATACAACTCCATCAATGTTATGTACAGAACCTAAGTTCAAAGACAAAATTAGAGATTGTCAAGATAGTGACAGCAAAACGTTCTCTCAGGAGGAAGGTCCTCCTGAACCCAGGTCCCTGTATTCACTGCTCAAAATGCTAGCCCTGAAGCTACATACTTACTATAGACTTACATACTGGCAGAGGAATTTCTCAGGAGGAAAGACCACAGTCTCCTCGGGGAATCAACTCCTACTCTTTAATTCCAGAATGTTCATCCATGGGCAGGTGAACAGACATGGTCTCGTCCTAGGGTACCCCTCCTGCCTCTGTACCTCTCTCTCATACCTCCTAGAATACATAGAGGCAAATTCTTCTAATGCTCCTCTGAATTCAGTGAGATGTGAAGGTGTGCATACTCGTTACATCTATTGGAGTCATTAATGAGACAAGACACCAGATAAAAATGTAATTTGGAGAAGACTGAATCAGAAAAGACATTTTAATACTCCCTGCTATGCTCTTCATCCTTAATTGGGTTGTGGTATTCACTTTGGACTTACACTATTGAGACAGCTTATATGTCTTGAGAAAAAAGAATTCCTTTTTCATTCTTGAGGACAGACGCAGGCAGTATGTGGTTTTGACATGCTGGCTCTCAGTCCTCTGTAATGCCTAGAGACTTCACAGATAAATGTTATGTGATGGGAATCCCACTGAGATGTGAGAATGAGCTATGCAGCTGGAAGGAGGGTGAGGCAGGAAGAAAAGAGTCTCTCACCAGAATGTGGAGACAGAGTCCCATGTGGAAGCGATTACGATACCACAAGAATCTGAATGTCATCTAGATGCTTGGGTTGAGGGAAGATGGCAGAATACGTGTGGGCTGGGAGAAGTTTGGACATGTGGATGATGTTTGCAGAAGGAAGAGGAGGGAAGGCTTCGTTTTGTATATTGAATACTTAGATCTCTGCATAAGTACTGCCGCCTAGACAGTGTGTGTCACAATCCACAGCCAAGTCAGGACTACGGTATCCCCAATGGCATTATGTTCATTTAGAATTTACTATTGCAAAGGAAAACCAAAAGTGCTGTTTGCCCTACACTCTCAGTATTTGTTTAAAATACCACTGTGTGTGGAACAGAAGTCATCAATTGTTTTCTTTGGCTTCTCTTTATTAATTTTTTCCCATTCTCACCACTTCTTCCACACTGGGGACTGCTGAGACTGACATCCCCCACAGTGGCATTGTGGGACTACCTTCGCTCTAAGAACATTCCATGTTGTGCCTGGTACTCCAGGGGAGCTCTTAAGCCCTCTGCCATCAAGGCTTGATAATCCAAAACTGTCACCACCAACTTCCCTGATGGTCATTTAGTCCAAAGTCATATTTTATCAGTGAGAGGCCATTTTGTGTGTGTCTGTGTATCTGTATGTCTGTGTGGGTATTGAATGGAGGGCCACATGTATGCTAAGCACACTATCTACCAGTGAGCTGTACTCTTAGCCCTCAATAGGGTAATTTGCAAACGATTTCTATGTCCTTCTGATGAAGTGCCAAAGGTATTGCATAGTATTTGAATTCTCAGTGCAGAATTTAAATACATACCTCTACAGATCGTCTTATTGAAAATATTGTCTGCTAGTGTCTGTGAGGGCTCTGTTAGTGGTTTGAGTATGAGGGCTTAACTGTAGCATGGATGTGTCTTCCTCTTGTGGTGCTGCATACATAGAAGCTAAAAGCTACAAAGCCATGTGTAATTATTCATTCATTGAGTATTACTGAACATTTATTGTTTTTAGTACTCTAGTTGCACAGAATACCTTAATAATAAACTAAACAGACTGAGATCTTACCCTTTGTGCTTTCACTTCTACATTACCAACAAGCATTTTAATTCTGTGCTGTCCAATATGGTAGCTACTTGCTGAAATCTAAATCAATTAAATTGTAATTAGAACTTTAGGGAGATTTCATCTGCTTTGCAGCCACATGATGGGTGTTTACTACACTGGGTAGTTTAGAACATTTTCATCTCTGAAGACAGTTCTAGTGCACAGTTCTAGTGATAAAGAAAGAAAACAGATTTTATCAGAGGAATTCATGTCAACACATTTTAATAAACCTATGAAAATGGGTAGGATACTGACAGTAAGGTCTGTCATGGTTTTTGAATCAGTAGATCATATTTCTGGTATCCTGGGAATCTGTTGATCCTCTGCAGGCACTCTCAGGAACAAGAGACTTCTCTGGATTTCATGCATCTCCATAAGGAAGAACAGGAGGCAGGCACCCTCCCATTTTGCTCAAGGACCCCTGTGTTGAAGGCTTGGTTGCTCCCCTGTGGCACTATTGGGAGGACGTAGAAGTGG